TAGTCGCACCGCCAGCGCTGTGAGAGCTCTCTCGCAGCGCTGTATGTACTCCACCTCTCCGAGGGGAATAGCTTGCAGCGCTGCGAGTGAGTGTGCAGCACCACAGGTGCTGATTACACTGGCACTTTACAGCGCTGCACTCGCTGTGCTGGGGGGGGGGCGTTTTCACACCCCTGAGCGCAGCAAGTTACAGCGCCAGTGTAGCCAAGGCCTAAGGCTACTTAGAATCAAAATACATTGATATACAAGTACATAGCCAATGTTCATAACTTCAACCATAAAAATGATACACACATACAGATAGCATTATGTGACAGACCCAGACCAGTGGGTATTGGAGTCTGGTAGAGGGCAAATATACTGGTCACTGGATGAGTAGTTTTCTGTTCCCTGAGTGACCAGAGCAGGGGCTGCACCCGAGTAATCAGGAACCTGCTAGAACCAGTTAAGGCAGGCAGGCTAATTAGGACACCTGGAGCCAATTAAGAAGAAGCTGCTAGAATCAATTAAGGCCGGCTAATCAGGGCACCTGGGTTTTAAAAGGAGCTCACTTCAGTTTGTGGTGTGAGTGTGAGGAGCTGGGAGCAAGAGGCGCAAGGAGCTGAGAGTGAGCGGGCGCTGCTGGAGGACTGAGGAGCACAAGCGTTATCAGACACCAGGAGGAAGGTCCTGTGGTGAGACTAAGGAAGGTGTTTGGAGGAGGCCATGGGGAAGTAGCCCAGGGAGTTGTAGCTGTCATGCAGCTGTTACAGGAGGCACCATAGACAGCTGCAGTCCACAGGGCCCTGGGCTGGAACCCGGAGTAGAGGGCGGGCCTGGGTTCCCCCCAAACCTCCCAATTGACCTGGACTGTGGGTTCTTCCAGAGGGGAAGGTCTCTGGGCTGGTCCCCAACCCACATGGTGAATCTCTGAGGCAAGAAAATCTGCCAATAAGCGCAGGACCCACCAAGATAGAGGAGGAACTTTGTCACAATAATCATAATCAGCCAATCATAACCTTCCCATAGACACCTTACACGACAACCTTTGTACAATATTTGCTGCAAATATATAACAATGGTTGCAACAATGATCTATACGGTTACAGATTATGTCAGTAATGTCACAGATGGGTAAAAATGAATGAAAGGTTTCTGCTAATTTGCTAATGCAAATGGACCTACCAGCATGAAGTTCCCCTTTTTAAACACAGGGATGATTTTGGTGTTCGCATCTCATTTAGGAAGTGAAGGTAGCTTCAGCGTAAGTGGCATTTACACAGTTATTTGCAGTTGTGCAAAACACCAGGGATGGCCCCTAATCCTGGCAAAACAAATAGCAATTCAGTGATTGGCGTAGTGAATCAAACAGAAGTTGTCCTGTGTCTTGCTTTAATTCAGCTCCAATCTCGCACCACAAAAGGCATATTAACTATAGTTATTCAAAGCAAATCAGTCGACAAGTGAATTGCCAATGAAGCAAGAAGGAAAACCATGCTTGCTAATGTTTCTAAAGGGAAAAATCTCCAAAGGTAATTTTTGTTGTAGATTAAATCCTGCAAATTGTAACTCCCTTTCTGGGTTATTTATTTATCAAACTGAAAGTATGACTGACCAGGATGGAGATTTCCTCCATATAGTTTAAAGAATGTTATCGAGCAAAGAAGCCACAGAAGTTATTCCATTATCTAACCCTGCAGCCTCTGGCAAAAAATGCTCTGGATTAGAAAGGTAGAGTCATGCAAACTAGAAGAGAGGACAAGACGCTGTCTGATGCAGTATGTACTTAAAAATGCAAATCCTATAATCTCTGTTCAGATTCATTTTTCCATGGGTACTGGGGAATTGCCAATATCCCTTTGTAACAATTACTCAGCTCAATCAGGAAAACCTATTCTGCAGCTGTGTTTTAGAAACAATGATATGAATGAATCAGTGAGTAGGTATTTAACAGTTTTATACCAGTGTAACAACATCCACAGAGCTGAACAGTTTTTTGTAAAACTTTTTTAGTTTCACTAAAATATTCACTTAACTTTCTGAAAAACCCTTCTCCCAAAGTCTACGCTGTGGCTTCAAAACCAGTAATAGTTTAGGTCCCAAAAGACTAATTACACCTCTACCCCAATATAACGCGACCTGATATAATGCAGTAAAGCAGCACTCCGGTGGGGGAGGAGGGCAGAGCTACGCGCTCCGGTGGATCAAAGCAAGTTAGATATAGCACAGTTTCACCTATAACGCGGTAAGATTTTTTGGCTCCCGAGGACAGCATTATATCAGGGTAGAGGTGTATTAGCTAAAACAACCAAGGGACCTTGTGGAACCTTAGAGACTTAACAAATTTATTTGGGCATAAGTTTTCGTGGCCTAGAACCCACTTCATCAGATGCATGCAGTGGAAAATAAAGTAGCAGGTATATTTATACATAGTACATGAAAAGATGGGAGTTGCCTTACCAGGTGGGGGGGTCAGTCTAAGGAGACAATTCAATTAATAGTAGAATACCAAGGGAGGAAAAATCACTTCTGTAGTGGTAATGAGTGGTAATTTCAAACAGTTGACAAGAAGGTGTGAGTAACAGTAGGGGGAAATAAGTATGGTAAAATTAGGTTTTTGTAATGACTCATCCACTCCCAGTCTTTATTCAGGCCTAATTTGATGGTGTCCAGTTTGCAAATTAATTCCAGTTCTGCAGTTTCATGTTGGAGTCTGTTTTTGAAGTTTTTTTTGTTGAAGAATTGCCACTTTTAAGTCTGAGTGACCAGGGAGGTTGAAGTGTTCTCCTACTGGTTTTTGAATGTTGCAATTCCTGATGTCAGATTTGTGTCCTTTGGCCAAACCAGACAGTCTCTACACAAAAGACTAATGTACACGGCAGAGGGGCATTGCTGGCACGTGATGGCATATATCACATTGGTAGATGTGCAGGTGAATGAGCCCCTGATGTTGTGGCTGATGTGGTTAGCTCCTATGATGGTGTCCTTGAATAGATATGCGGACAGAGTTGGCACCGGGGTTTGTTGCACGGTTTGGTTCCTGGGTTAGTGCTTTTTGGTGTGTGGTTGCTGCTGAGTATTTGCTTCAGGTTGGGGGGCTGTCTGTAAGTGAGGACTGGCCTCTCTCCCAAGGTCTGTGAGAGTGAGGGATCGTCCTTCAGGATACGTTGTATATCCTTGATGATGTGCTGGAGAGGTTTTAGTTGGTGGCTGTAGGTGACAGCTAGTGGCGTTCTGTTACTTTCTTTGCTGGGCCTGTCTTGTAGTAGGTGGCTTCTGGGTACCCTTCTGGCTCTGTCAATTTGTTTCTTAACTTCACCAGGTGGGTATTATAGTTTTAAGAATGCTTGATAGAGATCCTGTAGGCGTTTGTCTCTGTCTCAGGGATTGGAGCAAATGCGGTTGTATCTTAGAGCTTGACTGTAGACAATGGATCGAGTACATCATCACGGATCTACAACCTATCCTGAAGGACAATCCCTCATTCTCACAGACCTTGGGAGACAGGACAGTCACTGAGGCCAAACATCAACAAACTGACAGAACTGAAGTGTTGCCAGGTGTCTGGCAAACACTAAAAGCTCTCTGGCAGGTGAAGAATTGTATAAAGTTGTATGACAGTTTGATTATTTCTAAGAAATTTGAAATAAAAATACAATATGAATGTTTTCTTTTCTGAACACCATCTTCAGTGGCATTATTGGCCCATTGGGAGGATTTGAGGACTGGCACTGGCCCTAAGGTAAATTGAGTTTGAGACCCCTGGTATAAAGTTTATACAGGGTAAACTCATAAATTGTCCACTCTCTATAACACTGACAGAGAGATATACACAGCTGTTTGCTCCCCAAGGTATTAATCACTTACTCTGGGTTCATTGATAAACAAAAGTGATTTTATTAAGTATAAAAAGTAGGATTTAAGTGGTTTCAAGTCAAAACAGGCAGAACAAAGTAAGTCCTCAAGCAAAATAAAGCAAAAACACGCAAGTCTAAGCCTAATACATTAAGAAACCGATTAGAGGTAATATTTCACCCTCAGAGATGTTCCAATAAGCTTCTTTCACAGACTAGACTCCTTCCTAGTCTGGGCCCAATCCTTTCCCCTGGTACAGTCCTTGTTAGTTCCACCAGACATCTTAGGTGGAAAACAGGCGCTTTCTCATGACTGGCTGCCTTAGCTTGTAAGCAGGGCTGTTCTCATAACTGGCCTTCTTTGTCCTGTTCCATCCCCTTTTAGAGCTTTGGCACAAGGTGGGAATCTTTTGTCTCACTGGGTCACCACCCCTCCTTCTAAATGGAAAACTACCAGATTTAAGATGGATTCCAGTATCATGTGACATGCTCACATGTCCTGTAAGACCTCATACTTCATTACCCGGGGCTGGCCCATACGTACACAGGAAGGCTTGCAAAGAAGTTGTAAAGAAAACATCTACAACCAATTGTCCTAGGCAATGGGAGCCATCAAGATTCTAAACCACCATTAATGGCCTACACTTTGCATAATTACAATAGAACCTCAGAGTTATACTTCATATTTCTAGCTCCAGATACAAGAATGATACATGCATACAAAGAGGATGAACAGGCAGTAGATTATAAGCTTTGTAATGATACCTTACAAAAGACCTTTTGCATAAAGCATATTCCAGTTACATCATATTTACATTCATAAGCATACTTTTATACAGCATATGGAGTGCAACATCACAGCCCCTCTGCCCACTCAGTCCAAACTCCTGGTGGTGGGGGGCTTGCAATCCATTAATCCTGAGTTACATTAGCTGAAGAGTGTGTTCCCACCCATTCTCAAAGAGGACTGTGATCAATGCTGTCTCCAGGACTGTGGAGCAAAACCTCTCTATTTTATAGATGGGGAAACTGAGGCCAAGAGCGGGATGGTGCTTGATGACGGTCACATAGGGAGTCTGTGGCTGAACCAGGAATGGAACCCAGGTGTCCTGGCTCTCAGCACACCCCCTGCCTAGGTCCAGCCTCCAGGTGTCTGGCTTTGTCCCCCTATAGGTGCCAGGTGATTACTGCGGTACTGATGAGCAGAGGGATCAAGGCTGCAGGCCGCAGGGTGGAAGAGGAGCTGGGGGCGACTCGGAGGGCTGCCGAGGCCTCCACTTTGCGATTCCCAAGGCTCTGCAGAGGCC